CATTCCAGAGGCTTTCAGCTAACACAGGAAGGTTTCCGAGAAATCCTGGAGCTGCAACTTTTCTGTACCTTCCCTGAGCTCCATAATCCATTTTTTTTCACTCTTCCTCTAGCACCTCCATCTGCCTAACCCCACCTGCATCCTCACTGGAGCAGTGCTGGCCACCAGTGTCTGTGAAACCATCACTAGGAGTTAGCACCAGCTCGAACCTCATGTGTAAGCGCCCGTGATTACAGAAGGTTGGAGACTCTGTCAGGTCTGTAAGAGTCAAGACCTCCTAACAGGATCTTCTAACAGGCCTGATGCTTCCTGAACCGTATCTCAGCGCAGTAAACATCAGCGCTTTGGAAATATTAGCAATGTAGATAAGGAGGATTTTTTTAAAGATATAAGGGATGATACAAATATTTTAAGAGTGATCTAAAAACCTTCCTGGATTTATGGTGAGAAACACCAGCCTGCAGCAAAAATAAGAGCCCAGAAGGACACACTCATGGTGTCCTCTGCCTTAGCTGCTGCAGATGTCTCTCCACCCCAGGGGCTGCTCTACAAAGGCCAGGGTGCAGAGGGAGCTGCACTGGTTCTCTGAAGCTGCTGCTGTCCCTCTGGAGTTGAAGGCTCTGGCTGAGGATGTTCATCTGTGGGAGATGATCTCAAGAGTCAGATTTTGCTTCAAAAATCTAAGTTCTAATCCTGTGAGCTAACTTCCTCTCCTTCCCCTCAGGATGGTGACTTTGGGGACTGACTCCAGACTGCGTGCTGCCACGACATGCAATCCTTCACACTCCGTTTCCTTTGCTGCTAAAGGAAATGGTCCCTCTAACGAGATGAACTTTAACGAGCTTTCTCCCACATCCCAGCCGTGTTCGCCCTTCTGGAAAACCACCTGAAGAAGGTTTTGCTCTCAAATTCACTGACACTTGCAGATACCCAGATGCTCCCTGCCATGCAGCTGTGGCAGGGGCAAGGATGTGAACATGTACCTGCTATTCGGGTGTTCATCCAGGTTTCTGATGAACCTCAGTAGGTCAGTGACATTGTTGCGATACATGTATCTTTCTCCTTCCTTAGGGTTTTCCATGATATTCAGAACAACTCTGTCAATCTGAAAAAAAAGCACATAAATTATTCTCTGCCCTTCATGTACCACGAAAGCAGCGTATCGACCTCCACTCACCACAACCACTGCCTTTCTGCAGGGACATCATCTCATATGGGTAAATCTTGTGACCCTTAAAAGAATACTTCCCAGCTTGAGCAGAAGAGTTCACTCTGCAGGGCATGCACCATACAGACCCCCTGATCCTGCTGAGTGTTTCCTCTCCTGCCTTGCCAAGGTGTGCCATTCACGTTGGGACTGTCGACATGACACAGGAGATTTTTATGCATGGCTGGAGGACAGGAGGGACTCCGAAGATTGACCTGGCTGTGCCACTGTTGGGAGGACCACATGGGCTGCCGTACTGAACTGAGACTGTTGAATCTGAAATGGTTCAGCACGTCTTTCCAGAATGCTACCTGCAAGAGCATGCCTGGTCTCACTGCTTTTGAGCCAATCTAACAAAACACTTTTGACAGAAATTTGCTGGCAACAAGGGCCAGAAGTCCTTGTCTTAAGAGGTCACCACCAATCACCCTTGAAGGTTTTCCAGTTAATTCTATAATAACCATCCCCTACTATCACCCCAGTCAACAGAGCTCCCTTCAGCATCGACGTCTCTGGTGTATTTCAGCTATATGGCTGAGATGTAACTGTCTCCCCAGCTGTCTGTATTTGTGTGAGGCTACTTTTTCCAGTTACAGTTTTAAACAGGGCCTGGGAAACACTCAGGAAAAGCTTCCGCCTAAATGTTGAGGCCAAACCTCTTATCAGTCCAAAGAGAAGAGGATTACCTTTTTGGTCCAGCGTGGATAAGGAAAACTTTCAGTAGCATTAGGAGTTTGAAAGACAGCTTTTCTGTTGCTGAGATCTTTGATTTTATTCCATATACTCTTCAGGAACTTAAACCTGCTGTGGGACGAGGAGCTTCGTTAGCTGCAATGGGACATCGCTGCTCCCAGCACTACAGGCAAATCCCGTACCAAAAGCTTTGCCTTTGCACTCCCCGGACTTACGTCTGTTTGCTCCAGAAATAGGGATGTTTGCTCAAACCTTCCAAACCTCGTTCATCATGAGAGACCAGGCTGCTTACAAGGTCCAGAGCCTCCTTGTAATCCGGGGAATCAGCAGACAAATCCTTGGGACTGACTTGCTGAAGGGGTTTCTTACCCCCTGTTAAAACATACAGCACGAGCCTGCTGAGAGCCTGCAAAGAAACACATCACTGCTCACACGCCAGATGCATGAAACTTCTTACCAAATGGAAGAGGACTAGTATTCCTAAATGAGCAGAACACACACACACACGCAGCTATAGATGTGCAGAAGTATACAAATACGCACAAACACAAACTTTGTGTGCACACCGACAGAGGAGACAGGCACCATAATCATGCTCACGGGGTATCTGTGGATATCCCGGCACCAGCCACAGGTTTGCATCCTAATCACTATCGTTCTTACACAGTGCCTAGTGTTATATGGGCTTTCCCAAAAATCAAGGTGTTTTCTAGTTGAGGATGCAGAAGGGCTTCGCCTAGGACACACAGCAGCAGAAAATATGAGAGAGCCCCTGAATTTTTGAACCATACATTGATTCACAGGGAAGTTACCTCTAAATCCGAATTTATATGTTCTTTTTTGCCTTCAATCAACTGTCTCTTATTATCAAAGTCCACCAAGTAAATTTTGCCACCTAAGTCTGAGGAAACAAGAAAAATTGTTAGCAGATAATAGTGGAAAACCTTGATACAGCCTGTCACTGACTTCTGGGTGGTCCCTTCTTTAGAAAACAAATCTCTGGAGGGCTGTGCTGTGGGTTGATCTGTCCACAGAGCCCTGGAAAGGAGGGAAGATCTAATGAGACATGTAAAGGTGATCTGCTCACTCCTCTGAGGCTGTCTATGAACGTATCTGTACTTACTCAAAGAGGAGAGCTAATGCCACAGACACTTCACTCTGCATAAAGATATCTGCACTGGTGTTTCATATATTTTTTTATTTACAGGCAGCTATGAAGCATCTTCTCTCTAAACTACAGGCAACAGGAAAGCAAAATGAAAATACTGAGAAAGCAAAAGATAACCTATGACAAAGTTGCTGGGTTGTAGATCCTGGTGAGCAAACCCAAGGGAGTGCAGCTCTCTCACTGCCCGGAAGATCATCCTCACAGCATCTTTGTAATCCATTTGCTCTTCTGGGTCCTGCAGATGTTCTTCAAGGTTTTTCTCCCAGAGTGGGAAGCACAAGTACATGTAGCCTCTTGCCTTCTCAAACTGGAAGAGCTTCAGTAGATGTTCAGAATTACCACATTGTTCAAAAAACGTTTTCTCTTTGTCACCCTCTGTACTGCGGCTTATTCTTACTGCCACCTCTGTCCCACCGTGGAGGCCCAGGTAGATGCCACCCTGGGAAGTGTTCTGAATTCTCTGCTGGATGTATTGAAACGTCTTCAGTTTGCCAATCATAGGGCGATATGTTTTATAAAGATTTTTCAGCTGCTCCCTCCAGCGTTTGCTGTTTGGCTCCCAGTCTTTGAGAGTTCCTGGAACAAACCTGGCATTATACTCGCGAAGAAGACGTGCCATGTCGTGAGCACGGTTCCTATTCGCAACAGCGATAAGGTTCCCCACATCAGTCCTTGCTCCCTTTTCACACAACAGCTTTGCTATATTGTAATCATTTTTCTCTACGGCCACCATCAGTGCCGTGTTGCCCTCCTCATCTGCATCATCAATATCTATTTCACCCTTCTCCAACAAAGCTCTCACCAAATCTGGGCTCCGCATTTCAGCAGCTAGGATGAGGGCAGTTTTCCCACATTCGTCTTTGCTGCTCACATCGACACCACTGTCCAGCAGGAAATGGACTATGGACACAGCAGACTGGTATTTTTCATTGGCACAACCACCCTCCTTGAGGGCATGGATCAAGGCATTCCTATCTTTCTTGTCACAAATGTTCACATCAGCCCCCATCTCTTGGACAAGAGTTTGTACAACTGAGAAGTGGCCCCTCTTACAAGCATCCATCAGTGCTGTTGCTCCTCCTTTATGGAGTTTTGCTTTCTCCTCACTAACTTCCCTCCTCAAATTCACATTTGCTCCACTTCTATACAGGAATCTGAGGGCTTCCTCGTTCCCATACCATGCCGCCTCCATGAAAGCTGTGAAGCCGTTGTTGTCATGGTCATTGATATCTAGCCCACGATCAAGGAGGAGCTCCAGGATATTCACGTTTCCCGCTATTGCTGCTTCAGTAAATGCAGTGCCACCATTGTTCTTCCTGGCATGTGGACAAGCACCCCTATCCAGCAGAAGCCGGACCAGGTCCTCATCGTTCGCTTGCACGGCACTCTGCAGCGGTGTCCAGCCATCTCCTGCTTTGGAGTTCACCTCTGCCCCTTTCTCCAGCAGCTCCAGCACTTCTTTCACGTTCCCATTCCTCACGGCAGCGTTTAACTTCAAGGCCAGGTCTTCTGCTGTCTCCGTGTGGGAAGGGGTAGATGCCTCTTGCTGGCTGTGAGCTGTGGGCTCCATGGTGCTCAGAGGGAGGGCTCCGTGCTGCTGATGTTCCTCACCTGAGCCCAGGGATCCCACTGACGGATGGGAAAGGTGCAATGCTCGGTGCCTTCAGTGTGGGGAATGCACTGGGCTTGGCTGATGGAACATGCTAGGTCAGGTAGACTGCTATTTTAAGGGCTTCATGGTCTTCACCTAATTAATAAACAGAAAATCCTCTTTTAGTAGACTGTGGAACCTCTTTGTTTGCATTGGATGTCTTGTAGATCTACATGAAGGGCACCTAAGGACAACAATATGCCAAGTGCCAGCTGAGAGCTACAGCCTGGTGAGAGGCAGGACTTTAGCCCTGACCCAGCCACACACACCCATCGCCTTCGCTTGCCTGGTCTCAGCACTAAGCGCAGCCCAGGCAGGCATACCTGGAGACTGGGGTGTCTGGGTGAGCAGGTGGGGAAGGACCCAGCAGGTTCTTGCAATAAGTGTTATCTCAGATCTACTACAGTTTACCTGGTAAATCAGCCCTCAGTGATGTTTCCAGGTGGAGAACACAGCAGGCAGATAGGGGCATTCCCCCTCAGTTTGGGATGGCAGCCACACACACGGTCCTGGAATGTCCCCAATCCAGTACCTGGAACAGAGAAAGCACCAACCTTAATCCCTCCTGCCTCCATAGGCAATTAGGAGACCCCAGCAGACCAGAAGCCTTACCTAAGCTTTTGCTCACATTAAGAGGTTAATTAGGTAGGACCTGATCTGTCTGTATCTGTCTAGGATCTAGAAAAGCCGGAACCCCAATGCCCATTTTCCTGACTGCAAAGGCTGCTCAAAGTTTCAGGAGCCACACTCTGACAAGCTGAACTGCGAATAAATTATCTAAACAAATTAGAAAAGAGACAGAGAAGTCTTAAGGTATAAAGCCAAAGTATAAATCCACATGAATTTACCCTCAGGAAAGCCAGGAATCACTTTAGGACAGTTTCTCCCCACCTCCCAATCAGGAAGTGCTTTCCCCATTTCACTGATTGAGACACACTGCATTTCCTTGTAATAACCTCTATGCCTTTTACCACATATTAAAAAAAAATAAATTAGAATATTACTTTCCTGGCTGGAAAAGCAGCACAGCATCCCCTGGGCACAGTGGGGCTCAGTTTCCTCACCCCCGTTGGGAAGGCAGGAGCCCAGGGAGGGGGAAGGCAGGGGCTGTGCACCTTCCTCTTCTTCCTCCTCCTCCAAGCAGCAGAGCCCCAAGTGCCCTACCCTGGGAAATATTTAATAATTTCTGTCCCATCCCACTGGCTTGTGGCCAGGAGCCGTTGTGCGTCTGCGCATCACAACACCAGCTGAAGTGCAAAGTCATGCAACCCTGCCCCAGGAAGATGACAAGGGGTCCCTCTGCCCAGTCACTGCTTAAAACCCCTTCAAAGCCCAGGAGCAGCTTTTCCCAGCAGCTGTGCTTCGCTGCTGCTTCCCAGCAAGTGTTCCCAGACAGCATTTGCTTCCCAGCAAAGTGTGCACATATATGCCGTCCCCTCCCAGGAAGAGAAGCCCTGGGAGCGTTTTATCCACTTGCAGGGGGATGCTGGGGTTTTTCAGGGGTGTTTGGGGACCTTTTTTCAGCATATAGCAGAGAGGTCACGAGCAAAGTGCTCTCCCCATACAATCCCCCCATGCAGACCCTGTTTATAAACCTGCACTCAGCAGTGCTTCCAGAGCTGCAGGCATGGAGACATTAAATGCACCAAGGCTGGGGTTTGGGTTGGTTTTGGGTGGTGGCTTTGGGTTTTGGTTTTTTGGGGTTTTTTTTGTTTTGGGGTTTTTTTTTCCTTCTTTGGGGCAGGGAGGAGACAGGGGTTTGGGGTTTTTTTTGAAGGGTGGGGGTTTGGGTTGGGTTTTTTCTATTTTAAGCTTTTTCCTCACCTTCTAGCCACGTTGCTACATTTCACCCAGGGAACCACGGAGCTCCATTTACACCCCAGCCGGTGTGTTCCAAACTGCACCCACGCTGCCACGCAAATGCCAGCCCCCCTCGTAGGCAGCAATGTGTAAATGCCACCCAAGGGACCCCCGTCCTCCAGCCCTTCCCGTCTGCCTGCAAAGCGCACGCAGGAAATACGTGAAGGAACCCAGGCTGTGACGTGCCACCCAGTTTCCCCCCACCACCCTGTAATGGAAGATAAGCTCACCAGCGTGCAGAGCTCATGCAGCCTCCCCAGCCACCTCCACCCAGCTGTGCCAGTTTGCAAAATTCCGATCACACTTGAAACGGGGCTAAAATGATGTCAACGCATTCACGCCTGGCTTTCTGCAGCATGTTGGTACGTGCACAAATCTGCATAGGTACATGGAGATGTGTTTGGATGCAAACACAAGGGCACAGATGCAGAAAAGCACTCCCTGAAGTGGTGTGTGGATGCAGTCCTGCACGTTTTACATGCACATCCAAATCCTTATGTACCCTGTGCTGCTTTCTCGCATCTGCATGTCAGCATTCCCAAATGCATCCATGGATGCTCTGGAAAGCTCTGCCCCTGCAGGAGTTGCATCTCTGTACCCAGCTGTCATATTGAGCATCCTGCTTTCCGCAGCATGCAGCACATCCCTAAGGTCTGGGAGTGTCCCACGGTCTCTGGATGGAGTTTCACAGAGTTCTTGGTGTCACAGGAGACCTTGACACAGCCCCACAGGGACAAAGACTGAAAACTCAGGGAACAGTCCCAAGTCACTGTCAAGATCCCATTTAAACTCACAGAAATCTGCTGAACTCGACAGCATCTCTCTGGGTTGGACCAGAGCTGGGGCTCCAACTGCCAGTGTTTAACTTCCCATTTGCAGGCTGGAAAAGAGACAAACAAGCCAAGCAGGAGCACATCACAGGTTCAGAACCATCAATAAAAACATCCCAAAAAAAGTCAACATTAAAACACAGAACAATGTCACACCATCCAGCTACCCAAGTAAAAAAACTCTGTTCCACTTGCTGACTTAATTAAAGTCATTCATTATCTTATGGTGGGAAGATGAAAAACCGTGGGATGGTAAGAACCCAAACCCATGAATGCTGGGAACAAGGTGTTTGCAGCTGACAGGGCTGGGGCAGACGTTTCCTGTGCCTGTATACCAGCAAAGAAGGATTTCATCCCTGGTCCAAATTGCTTTCCATAGAGTCATGCACAACAGCATTTGTTTAAACTCACCAGTCCCTGTGACAGGCAGTTTATGGGGAACAGAAGGGCCCCAAAGGTTTTCTAAAGCATGGAATTCACAGAGCTCCCCTCCACAACCACTCCTGGAGCCTCCAGGCTGTAGAGTTCCTGCTGCATTTGCACCCCTGCAGAGCCCTTATTTTCCCCCATGCACACAAGGATGGGGGCATGAGCTGCAGAGACAAAGCCAGCAAGGAAATCAAGGTCACAAGCAAGCAAATAATCCTTTTCCTCCATCCTGATGGATTTACACCCATTTTGCAACCCTTCCCCTGAGACAGCATCTCTGAGCATCCATGCCCTGGCCACCAGCCACAAATAAACATGAGCTAAAATGCAGCAACAAAAACTGCCTGCCAAAGTCTAAATAATTTTTAAAGCAGCTATGAATAGTAAGATGCGCTTTTTTTTTTTCCCTTCATGTTCCCTGTACTTGCTTCCTTATTATATTTCCAAAAGGGAGTGTCCCAGGGTTTATATGCTTGGCCACACGGATGTGACTTTCACTGTTGGAACACAGCCCTGGAAAATAGCCTCCAGAAGGACGTGATTTAAACACTGACAGGTAATACTGCCTATGCAGGAGCATCAACCACATTTCACTTTACCATAGAGTATTTTTTGTATTTTTTTTTAATCCATATTTGCTACCTTTTTGAGACTGCTGCTCAATCCTCATCACCACAAAACTGGACCAGCAGGAGCAGGGATGTCACTGTGTCCCACTCCCTGGACAAAGAGAGCAGGGCAGGTCCGTGGAAAGCATCCCAAATCAGCCAAAACAGGGCAAAGAAGTTACCAGGCTGAGGACCTCAGCTTACATGCGTTTCCCGAGCAGCAGAGGCGGTTCCCCAGCAGCCTTACCCCCAGCTGTGCCTCATCCCCTGCATCTCCTCCCCTGGGCTGAGCCCAGGCTGCAGCTGCACCGTGTCAGAGCCGCCCTCCAGCACGGGCAGCCCGACCAGGGGGGCAGGAGGGCTGCAGACCCTGCTGCTGTCCCCAGGGCTCCAGAAAGCATGAAAATTAACATTAATTTTTTTATCAGTTCCCAAGGCACCCTTGGGGGCAAGAATCACTGCATGCAGCTGGAGCGGGTTTGCAACCTTGGCTGCACATGGAGCGAGAGGGATGGTGAGCCGTCTGGAAATGCATCACGCGTGATTTCTGGCACTTCATTTGGGCTAAGGCCTTGAAGTGAAAGCCACAGAGCAGAAAGCAGGGCGGTTTGAAATGGCTCAGTGCATCCCCTTTGCTGGCGAGCTCCTTCAAAAATGTATTTAATCAGCATTTTATAATTTGCAGACAGTCTTTAAAAGAAAAAAAAAAAGAGGATGTACACACATGCAAGCACATCCAAATTTGCGCACATGTGTGTTGTTACACATGTGCATCTGTTGCGGTGCATGCACACGGAAGCTCAGCATCCTGCATATGCACATCCACCTGCCCAAATATGTGTCACTTCATGGGGTTTTGCCAATTGATGGGGTTAGCACAAAGGACACAGGAACCAAATTAAAGAAGTAAATTTATTTTTACTTATGTTTAAAGTGAAAAAAATAGGAAAATAATACAGTTAAAATAAATTAAAGCAAGATAAGGTAAAGCAGCAAAATAATAAACGAACTACTATAGCAAGCATAAAATAAGGTAATGCACCTAATCCTTACTATATAGAGTTAGTGATTAAGTGATTAAGAAAGATACATCACCAATTGCCCTAATAATACGTTGCTGTCATCCGGATCCACAGTCACTGGGGGAGCAGCGAGGATTTGGAGAACCCTTCCCAGCAATTGGGAAATCTGT